TCATCAACAGTTAGATTTGTTCTTCAACAGTTAGACCTGTTCATCAACAGTTGGTTTCGGTTGCTCAGATTCTCTTCTTGTTACTTGTTATTCTATTAACATCCTAGCACATCGACACATATGTGCACCATCCTCCGATGCAGCAGCTATCTCAGTGTCTCCATGGCTCAAAGTACCCAGTAGGAGTTAACTATCTTCTTTCTTTACACTGCAACTGGTTTCTGTATGTTTGTCCTTGTTTAATACCCATTTCACACAGGTAGTTTATCGTCTCTGAGTCCTTTGTCTCAAAGTCTCTAGAATGCAGCGCATTCAGTATGTCTACCCTGTCCACACTTCTCCCTCATCTAACTTCTGCAGACAGCCACTCTGTCGGCACTTTCATTTCCTTTCACCCCCGCTGCTTCCCGGTTGGAACAACCTTGAGGCGGGACTTATGGATGCTGTCGACCCAGTTCTGGTCGGAATTTGCGTTTGGATTGTCTTTTTCATGCTCAGAGTGTATATCAAAACTCAGTGCGTGAGTTTTAACAGTATATCTTCGTGATTTGGTAGACATTTCCCTAACAACCCTTCATATCGCATTTTGCGAATGTTAGGTCATAGCGATCCTCTTCCATGATCCTCTTTAGAAACCTATAACACTCACGTTGGCGCCAACTAGATCCCCACAATAGAGTGCCATCATTAGCCAGGCCCAACATCCACTTCAACTGGCATACATAAGTCCATATATAAGAGACGTCCGTAGTTTAGGCGTTGCGAGTCTGACTCGTAATTCCTACGTATCGCAATCGAAACTTACTAAATTTTTATCATGATAAGACAGAGATTAACCTAAAATTGGTACCAGGATGTATGGCCTGGGGAAATAAAGACGACCTGCGTAATGCTGACCACATTATCCACCTAGTGCCGATTGGTCTCTAAAAATATGGTGCTCTTCCCATATGCCCGATGCGTAGAAAGGGATCTTTGTGTTTTTGTTTTTTAGTTCAAACATAAATTGATTGACACTAGTCTAATCTGGTAATCTGACACAGTGTGTGCTTTATATAAATATATATATATATGATCTGGACTTCGCTGATGATATTGCCCTTCTGTCCCATTCACGGAATCAGATACAAGATAAATTAAATATACTTAATGCGAGATCACAGCAGCTTGGTCTGAAAATCCATAAAGGAAAGACAAAGATAATGAGAATAAATCAGGCAAATAGTAATGTGGTTTCTCTTAATGGCACCCCACTCTAAGACGTGGAGTCGTACACCTATTTAGGCAGTAATGTAGATAAAGATGGAGGAACTGATAGAGATATTAAAATAAGAATACAAAATGCAAGAGGGGCTTTCATAGCACTAGGGAATGAGTGGAGGTCAAAAGAAATTAAAAGAAATACTAAACTAAACATTTTTAATTCTAATGTCAAATCAGTACTATTGTATGGGGCGGAAACATGGAGAACAACCAAGGCAATTACTAATAAATTACAGACATTCATTAACTGGTGCCTGCGCAGAATAGAGGGAAAAAATGGTATGATAGAATAACTAATGTAGAACTTTGGGAGAGAACTAAACAGGCTCCAGTGGATCAGGAGGTGAGGAAAAGACGCTGGCGTTGGATAGGACACACACTGAGAAAACAGGAGAACAGCATAACTAGAATGTCTTTGCATTGGAACCCACAGGGGCATAGTGTGACGAGTGTAAAGTGACTAGGGGTGTCGCAATGTAACAAATGGCATCAACACTTAACATGCCACTGGCCAAGAGTAACACAACATGATGAATGCTGAAGCTTCCAACGTAGCGGAACGAGAACTCTCTTTAAAAGTTCCATTTGTGTATTGACAAATGGCAATGATCAACACAAAGGATACATATGCAATCAATAATCAAGCACATTAACCAAAGCTCGCTCGTACATCCATGGACTGATATGTCCTCACGATAGGTCGCAGTCCGACCTTGAGATCCAGACAATCATCTTTGTGTTCAGTTCATCCGTCTGAATTAAATAATGAAGGTATACCGGCTTACTGCCGAAAATGTAACGTTCACCAGCTTCCTGCTGAGGTCTATCTTGGAGTCCCGGGGTAAAGCGTCCTCAAGGATCCACACGTCCGTCTCCTTCGGACTATAAACATCAACTGCAAAGTATACCGGCTTACTGCCGAACTGTGGCATCCCGGGGTAAAACGTCCTCAAGGATCCACCGTGGCATCCCGGGGTAAAGCATCCTCATGGATCCACACCAAGGCCGGACCCAAACTTCTACTTACATCTCCTAGAATACAATTCCTTACAACCTGAGGTAGTGTTTTGACGTCTTGTTTGCTCACTCAGTACCTGATGCAGATATGTTGCAGCCAACCTCTATTGTGGGGAGGACACCTGATTCTTCTCTTCGTCTTCTTCGCGTAAACTCATATTGCAAGTTCTGGTCATTCGTCCACTTGTGGACTTTGGTCTTATTTCAGGACCTGCGTTTTGCGTCCACCTCCGTTTTACAGGTGTGGCTCAGTTGTAAGTAGACTGTTGGTTCTATCTCTAAGGCTGATGCACTCGATTTCTAAGGAAACACCCCTAAGTAGTCGACTTTTACGACTTGCTTGTAATGGAGCAGTGGGTGTTTTCTTGGTTTTCCCTAAAAGAAAATGCAAACTGAGGATTCGCTACCCACATGAGGAGACAGCTTACTGATTGACAGACCACAGAATGAAACAAAAACGCGCGGCCAAACGCACTCACCTGGACAGACAGTAGGTCCACGCCGTTCTGGGATAGTAATAGACAAAAGCTAGACACATCTCTTCCTGCGTGCTCAGGCCACCCTATGTTGGTTCCAAAATTATACATTAGTTGAGCGAGAGTCAACATTACAGTAGAATCAATGAGCCATGCAAACTATGGCAGCAACGAAATTGCGTATGTTCTGGTTAGGACTCGTAAATAATTGGGAACAAATAGAAATACGAGAAGTAGGTTCAAGGGCTGATTTATCTGTTGATTGTAACCCTCTTCAATACTACTCTTGATACTACTACTGTTGCTGCTGGTACTGCTGTTGCGACTATTCCTACTGCTACTTCTACTTCTACTACTGCTGCTGCTACTACTATTACTGCTTCTTCTACTAATTCCACTACTACTCTAATAATACTTCTACTAATTATTCTACTAATAATACTTCCTCTACTACAACTTGCACTATTACAATTACTACTACTATTACTACTACTGTTACTACTACTAATATTACCTCTACTACTACTACTTCTACCCTACTACTACTACTACTACTACTACTACTACTACTACTACCACCACCACCACCACCACCACCACCACTACTACTACTACTACTACTACTACTACTACTACTACTACTACTAATACTACTACTACTAATACTACTACTACTACTACTACTACTACTACTACTACTACTACTAATACTACTACTACTACTACTACTACTACTACTACTACTACTACTACTACTACTACTACTACTACTACTACTACTACTACAGCACTTTCTGGTCTTCTACTAATTCTTCTTCTTATACTTGTGTCATGCCGTTCGTCTTTATTCTGTGGACAATTTCTTATGCCCATTTTAGGTTGAATAGACCTGGAAGCCCTGGTGACGGAAAATAATCCCCTCAATATTGAAATGGTGGAAGGGAGATAAATCGGAGAAGTAATCTTCGCCAAGGGGATTTAAAAACGGGATAATAAAAGGGGGAAATTTATCATCACCAGTCAGGAGGTCATTCACGCATGAAAGCTTCTCTATATCCAGCCAATTATCCACCTGTATCTACTTTCATAGGCAATGCATCGTCAATGTTTTATGTGTCCATTCACAGATGACTGCCTTGTTTTCGGGACACTGCCGCGTTCTTTCTAGGTAGTAGTAGTAGTGCATTTTACCCAACTAGGACATTACACAAGCGATAAACACCCGATGACACCAAATGGACATCATGCGATTGAGGATCACCCACTGAGAGGTCCCGGAAACCGCGTTCAGCCATTGGGCCATATTGCGGCCCCTTGTAAGAGCCAGAGTGGGGCTTCAAAATAACGAAAATGTGCATCCTATAAGAGGATGACTGTGTTTTCTCTAGGGGTCACTACGACGCTTAATATGTGCTGGCGTCACAATATTAAATGCAATTTTCTTTTTTAAAAGCCCTACCCTGGCTGTTGCCTGGGGCCCTGATATAGCCCAACCTATGAGTTGAACGGAGTTTCTGGAACCTGTCTCTGTTAATCGCTTGGTGTGATGTTCAGGTGGGGTTTAACGACAGCGGCCCATATGTATTTTTTGGGGGGGGACACGATACTGTTTATACTGGAGTAGCTGAACACGGCCAGAAGATCCAGAAAACTGTCACTCAAATCACGCGAGAAGCACGAAACAAATATTTTAAACCACGGCACTGGGCTGCAACCCGGTAAAAGTGAAGAAGACAATAGATAGATACTGTTTATGAATCAATTCTCCCTGGTGCTCAGATCATATATAATGCTGGTATCAATTTAGTTCAAACACTCTTACCCCCCACCCCCTTTTCCCCCCTACCATTTTCCCTCATTTCAAGAGCAAGAGTCCCTGACTCACATCCCTAAGTTGTAATGGGAAAGATGTCTGATCTAAACTCTTAATAGTGTATACCTAAATTTTACCCCCAAAAAAATGTTTACTTACTTAGCTTCAAGCAAATTACCATGAATTTGTTGTATTCCTTTGTAACTGGTATCCATACTTTTCTGAACTTCGTGTGGCCCGTCTAGCTGTTACAATCATTCACTCTGCTTCAATTCTCACTTTAACTCCTCCTCTTCCTAAATGCTATGATTTCACCTCCTCAGAACCAAACGATGATAGCTTAAAGTAATGTATTCTTAGAATTAAGAGTTAATCTAACATTTACTTTGTAAAAAAAGAGTTAAGATCAAAGGCATATAACTTACAAAGGTAGCTTTTGATCGAGCTCTGGAGTCGTAGTTGCACTCGGTAATCAGGCTATCTCCCTGAAAGATACACATAGTCCATGGATCAACAAACGTACTGACATGTGAATAGACAACTGCGATAAATAAACAGAGGGGAAACCCTTGAGGCAGTAGAAATATTATATATATATATATATAATGTTAATGTACTGATCGGCACTCATCTAAAAATAGTAGAAAGAAAGAAGGAAACACTAGACAACATAAAAATTTAAAGCTATAGGGATAAGCACACTCTCATATGTTCACATTCTCGTTATGACACACTTGAAAGTCTCTCTTTCTCTAGTCAATTCTCCAGCCCTATGTGCTTTCAATGTTTTGTATCCACCTTAATGAGGATCTGCAAACTAGTAAACATGTAAACAAACATGTTTCATATAGATGAATACGACACATTGACGCATCTGATACTGTAGTCCTGTTGTTCGTATGTCGATGGCTGGGACGGCGTTGCTGACAATTATTGCCTGATAAATGATTTATGAGTAAAATAATGTACCCAAGGAGTGGGACTAGAAGAGCAGGATATTGGACGTATCTACATTCCTTATTATTACATACCAAATATAGTAATTCAACGTGCGTATAGCCAACTTATTGTGTCCGACTGCTTCCATCAAAGACAAACTGCTTTTCTTGTGGCGCTTATTAGCTTCGGCGCCTCTAGCTGCTGCCACACGCATTTACTGCTTGCGCATATTTCTGACTGACTTTCTACCCCCAGCAGGGCATCACACAAGCGATAAACACCCGATAACACAAAGTGCCACCATGCGGATGAGGATCGCCGTGGAGAGGTCCCAGAAACCGCGTTCAGACAATTGGCCATATTGATGGCCTGCCTATATTGCGGCCCCTGGCAAAAGCCAGAGTGGGGCTTCAAATAACAAAAAAATACGTCCTTAGAAGGACGGAAAGAATAATTGCGCATATTTCTGGATTGTTCTGGAACTAATTTGTTTATTACCAGTTTTTCAAATGGGACAGTGAGAGCATTTCATTTGATTTTCACTGGCAAAGGAATGGATCAAGTATGGGGTTACCCGATTGCAGCGAAGTTGAAACCTTGAAAATATAGTTCGTTCTTTCGTTTGTAACCTTGGCACAAAATGTTTGTAGCATGTTGTTAGGGTGGCGTCCCTTGGTAGATTCGGTTCACGGTCTTTTCCAGCTTGTCATTGTTGGGATGATGCTACCTTTCCAGCCGCCTCAAACATCGCTGCTTCTCGTTCCAGTAGCCCAGAGACAGACAGACAGACAGACAAGCACAAAGACAGACAAATTAGGATGGCATATATATATATATATATATATATATATATATATATATATATATATATATATATATATATATATATATATATATATATATTCTTCTTCTTCTTCTGCCTTTCTATCCCCCAATGGAGCATAGGCCCTTAACCAACTCACGCCAAGTCGTTCTATCCTTCGCCATTACATGGAGCTCTCCCCATGTCCTCCCAATCTTTCTAACCTCATTCTCCAGCTCTCTTCTCCATGTGTTTTTTGGCCTTCCTTTATTCCTATGCCCCTATGGGTTCCAATGCAAAGACATTCTAGTTATGCTGTTCTCCTGTTTTCTCAGTGTGTGCCCTATCCAACGCCAGCGTCTTTTCCTCACCTCCTGATCCACTGGAGCCTGTTTAGTTCTCTCCCAAAGTTCTACATTAGTTATTCTATTATACCATTTTATTCCCTCTATTCTGCGCAGGCACCAGTTAATGAATGTCTGTAATTTATTAGTAATTGCCTTGGTTGTTCTCCATGTTTCCGCCCCCCTACAATAGTACTGATTTGACATTAGAATTAAAAATTTTTAGTTTAGTATTTCTTTTAATTTCTTTTGACCTCCACACATTCCCTAGTGCTATGAAAGCCCCTCTTGCCTTTTGTATTCTTATTTTAATATCTCTATCAGTTCCTCCATCTTTATCTAGATTACTGCCTAAATAGGTGTACGACTCCACGTCTTGGAGTGGGGTGCCATTAAGAGAAACCACATTACTATTTGCCTGATTTATTCTCATTATCTTTGTCTTTCCTTTATGGATTTTCAGACCAAGCTGCTGTGATCTCGCATTAAGTATATTTAATTTATCTTGTATCTGATTCCGTGAATGGGACAGAAGGGCAATATCATCAGCGAAGTCCAGATCATATATATATTTATATAAAGCACACACTGTGTCAGATTACCAGATTAGACTAGTGTCAATCAATTTATGTTTGAACTAAAAAACAAAAACAAAAACACAAAGATCCCTTTCTACGCCTTAGGCGCATCGGGTATATGGGAAGAGCACCATATTTTTACAGACCAATCGGCACTAGGTGGATAATGTGGTCAGCATTACACCGGTCGTCTTTTTTTTTCCCCAGGCCATACATCCTGGTACCAATTTTAGGTTAATCTCTGTCTTATCATGATAAAAATTTAGTGAGTTTCGATCGCGATACGTTGGAATTACGAGTCAGACTCGCAACGCCTAAACTACGGACGTCTCTTATGTATGGACTTATGTATGCCAGTTGAAGTGGATGTTGGGCCTGGCTAATGATGGCACCCTAGTGTGGGGTCTCTAGTTGGCGCCAGCGTGAGTGTTACAGGCCTCTAAAGAGGATCATGGAAGAGTATCGCTATGACCTAACATACGCAAGATGCGATATGAAGGGTTGTTAGGGAAATGTCTACCAAATCACAAAGATACACTGTTAAAACTCACGCACTGAGTTTTGATATACACTCTCTGCATGCACAAGACAATCCATACACTCTCTGCATGCACAAGACAATCCATACACTCTCTGCATGCACAAGACAATCCATACACTCTCTGCATGCACAAGACAATCCATACACTCTGTGCATGCACAAGACAATCCATACACTTTGTGCATGCACAAGACAATCCATACACTCTGTGCATGCACAAGACAATCCATACACTCTGTGCATGCACAAGACAATCCATACACTCTGAGCATGCACAAGACAATCCATACACTCTCTGCATGCACAAGACAATCCATACACTCTGAGCATGCACAAGACAATCCATACACTCTGAGCATGCTCAAGACAATCCATACACTCTGAGCATGCACAAGACAATCCGTACACTCTCTGCATGCACAAGACAATCCAAACGCAAATTCCAAAAAGAACTGGGTCGACAGCATCCAGAAGTCCCGCCTCAAGAAAATATCTTGGTTGTTCCACCCGGGAAGCAGCGGGGGTGAAAGGAAATGAAAGTGCCGACAGAGTGGCTGTCTGCAGAAGTTAGATGAGGGAGAAGTGTGGACAGGGTAGACATACTGAATGCGCTGCATTCTAGAGACTTTGAGACAAAGGAGTCAGAGACGATAAACTACCTGTGTGAAATGGGTATTAAACAAAGACAAACATACAGAAACCAGTTGCAGTGTAAAGAAAGAAGATAGTTAACTCCTACTGGGTACTTTGAGCCATGGAGACACTGAGATAGCTGCTGCATCGGAGGATGGTGCACATATGTGTCTATGTGCTAGGATGTTAATAGAATAACAAGTAACAAGAAGAGAATCTGAGCAACCGAAACCAACTGTTGATGAACAGGTCTAACTGTTGAAGAACAAATCTAACTGTTGATGAACAAATCTAAAAAAAAAAAAAAAAAAAAAAAAAAAAGGAGAAAAAGATAATTTAGACAATTAAGATGTAATGATGCTCTTCTTTTGGGAGAAATATGACGCAATTAGAAATTAGTAGTAGTAGTACATTTTACCCCACTAGGACATCACACAAGTGATAAACACCCGATAACACAAAGTGCCACCATGTGGATGAAGATCACCCGTGGAGAGGTCCCGAAAACCGCGTTCAGCCATTAGACCATATATGTGGCCGGGTTATATTACGGCCCCTGGCAAGAGCCAGAGTGGGGCTTCAAAATAACGAAAAATTGCACCCCACAAGGGGATGACTGTATAATAAAACCGCAATTAGAAATCCTGCATCTTACTGTCTTACAAGATGAGAATGTATCATTCTTATGGCTACGAACTTATAGTACTCAAAGCTACTTAACCTACCTTCTTGATGGTGATTTCTGGACTGACATCTCGGGTCTGTTGAAAGTCAAAGTCATAATTGTTGTCCTCGGACAAGGCTGGCAACTCAACGCCGTTTCTGAAATGGCGGGTTCTGAGTTGCTTCCCCAGCAGATGCGCATGCAGGAACACAGCAAATACATGGATCTCTTGATCTTTGAGTGCCTGTTACGGTGATAATGTAAATGTTAAAGGGGTACAATAAAATGGACAAAGCAGAATCGTTGAGATTTGATAGCGCTGTAGAAATTAACAACAATAATTAATTAATTTTAGTTGTAG